TGACAAATCTTTTCTCAGTTCCCTCAGCAGTCACACGGGGACTTCTCTCCACTCTACGCTTCAGGTAGCGCACAGCAGTCGAAGTCAGCATCTTCTTTCTGCCACGACCAGGTAGCGTTTCAACAGTGCCCTTTGCCTTGAATTTGCGAATGATGCTTCCTAAGGTCTCTTGGTATGTTTAACATCTTTGCAATCTTCTTATAGCCATTGCCCTTCCTGTGAAGAGAAATCACCTCTTCTCTTGTCTTCCTGGACCATTCTCTTGCCTTCACCATGTTTGTAACCACACCAGTAAATGTCTAGAAGGAGCTGAGTATCACAGTCATTTTAAAGCTGCCTAATTGGTGCTTATTATGCTTGATTGCTGCTCGGTGACATCCACAGGTGTTTTCAATACCTGATGGAAAGCACCTGTATGAACCTCTGTTCTTCAGAGTGGTAGTCTTTAAGGGGTTGAATAATTGTGGCAATGAAGAAACCACATAAGAACCATTTACTACTGTATTACATAAACAATTGATGTCATTTTAGTTGCATTTGGGTAGTTACAACGTCCTTGTAGGATTTGATTCTGAATACAATTCCAAATGTACACTATAGTCCCTAAACCCCTTTACAGCATTGGGGGTTGAATAATTTTGGTCACAACTGTACATCTCCTCTTTCCCCGTCGCTGATAAAGCAGTAATCGCACCAAACCGTTAAAGCAAACTAGAATTTGTCACGCATGTTGGTACCCACAATGAAAATGCCACAGGGTTTTCTTGGATCTGGCTTCCAACTACTTACTGTACTGGAGTTCTTGTATATCTCCTCTTTCCCTATCGCTGGTCAGGTACAGTGTTGCATGACTGTGCAATTATTATTCAAAGTGCGAGAGCGCTGAAAGCTGAAAATTGTCCTGGGCAGGAACTGGGTGAAAATGGCAGGTATTAAAGCGGTTAACATTTAGCTTTGCTTTAAATTCATTTGCATTCATCTCCTTCCCTGGCTGCAGATTAGCAGTATAATTTATGTGAATCTAAAGGGCAGATACTGATGAATGTTTAGTATACTGCACAGTAGTACAGCTCTCAATGTAAAGCAAGAAATCTAACGAGTCCTACATCCACAGTAACGGCGTGGATGGACAGATCTCCTGCTGCAAGCGATTGTATTCCGGCTGTTATAAACCTCTTCAGTGCCACGTCACACATCAGGAGATAGACAGTTCATAAATGAGTTTGAGTATGTTCATGTATATTCACTTGATTTTAGAATCGTGTGTCAGAGTATTGTTCTGTGATCTCACCTTTACACATATGTACACACTCAGATAATTGCTGAGAATGGTCAGTCATGAGGCACATTAAGGACTGAGCCATATTAAACAGTCATGACTGTGCTTTGGGTTCTTTTCACTTGTGAAAGGCCTAGTAATGAGGAAGCTGTATTCCTGGTCTGTGTGCGTTTCTTCTGGAACAGTTGCTGTAGCTGAAATCTCCCTTCTACACTGACTACTGCTCTCCCAGCTGGTGCCTCTGTCTGCTGTTACCGCTCCCCGCTTGTGCCTCAGTGTATAAATACCAGACACGCTATTCTCTTTTAAAGGCGTTTGATGACACATTAAAGGACATCTAGGCTCATTTTCATGTGTTTATCAATGTACATGCAGATGTGATCAGAGCAGTATGTCCTCTTGTAAATGTGTGGAATTCTGAATCTTTTATGTGTGTATTTTTTATTGTGCTTGTATATAGCACAGCCATATCTGTTCAGGTCACACTTCTGCTTGATACTGCTGTAAAGTTCTATAGAAAGGCAGTGATATCCAATATGGAAACATGCTAGGCTAATCACACCAGAGAAAAACAATAGAATCTTCTGGGTGACTGATTTATTCTAGCTATGCAAACAGTGTGATATTCTACAGATGTAAACATGAACTACACTCAACACAAATAGGAATAATAAGAATGTAAAAGGCAACTCCATTGAAAACCCTTTGATTTTTGACAGTGTGGGAACAGTTTAGAACTTTCATTGAATACTTTTTGCAGTTTGTGTCCCCGTTGGGGAAATTTCCTTGCACGTCATATCCTGTTTGCACTATACAAACCACGCACCAGCATCATGTGACACCTTCTTAAAGCAGAACTACAATGCACCTAAGTAAAACCAGCCATAAACACTCATTCATTTTTAATATTCAAAGCAAACATACCCATCAATCCAAGTCTCCATACTTTATTTTCTTTGAGAAACACCTCCTAGCATTTATGGCCGTGGCCATCTTGAGTAAGGGCAGATAAATTATGTAGCATTTACTTCCTAGAATTCATCTGCCCTTAGCTCAGGCATGAGAGTATGCTTCGCTGACAAAACCCCTCCTGAAGACTCCTGGGTTGGATGATGTAGTTTGCCTAGGCCTGGAAACCAGGAAGTAACTTAACCACTTCAAGTCCAGACACTTTTACCCCCTTCCTGTCCAGGCCAATTTTCAGCTTTCAGCGCTGTCACACTTTGAATGACAATTGCGGGGTCATATGACACTGTACCCATATGAATTTTTTAGCATTTTTTTTAGACCGATAAAACTTTATTTTGGTGGTATTTATTCACCACTGGGATTTTTTTTTTTTTTTTGCTATATAAATGAAAAAGTCCAAAAATTTTGAAAAAAGTATTTTTCTTACAAAATTTTGCAAATAAATAATTTAATCCTAAATCTTGGGCAAAATGTATTCAGATATCTTTTTAGTAAAAAAAAAAAAAAAAAAAAAAAACCCAAATTAGTTTATAACCAAAAATTATAATTTTTTAAAATTATAAAAAAAAATTTTTACATTTTTTTTATATTTGTTTTTTTCCTACATACTGTCACCCTAGCCGTACAGTGTCACCATGGTGACACTGTACTACTTGTGGGGGGTAATGTTTTTTTTTTTGTGTACACTGATTGCTTTTACACCCGTAAGGGCTGTAAAAGCAATCATTTCTCCTTCTCTCTGGCTGCATTCTTGTAGCCATTGAGAAATGCTGTGTGAGCTGTGATTGGTCACAGCTTGAAACATGGTACAAGGCTGTTGTGAATAGACTTGTACCATGTGACCTCTGTGATCATTCACAGATTTCACACATAGTAAGCAATGATGTCAGAAGTGACATCTTGCTTACTACTCTGCATGTGATCACTGATTGGCCAATCAGTGATCACATAATCAGGACCTCGTATAGAGATCCCGTCCTACGATCGGTGTTCACTTGTACACAGCGGATCATGGTGCTGTGCGGTCCCAGGGAGCACGCACAATCCAGAATGGTGGGTGCCGTTTATGAACAGCAACCCGCCCCCTGGACTGCCACCGTCCTGCCGTTTTTATATACAGCGGCTGGACAGCAAGTGGTTAAGGAATTTTGTAAAAAAAAAAAACAAGTAAATATGATATACTTTCCTTTCTATTTAGTAATGCTGGCAGCATAAGGATTAAAAATAGTCAATGTTGATTGAGAAAGTAGAATTCTAGGAAAAAACTGTTTGTTTTTTGGATAGCATAGGGGAGTGTTAATACTCATGTCTGTTTTTTGCCATCTGTGTCCCATTGGGGAGATTTACCTTCACCTCCTGTCCCAGAGCTAAAACAGGAAGTGAGAAGAAATTCCGGCAAAAAAGGGAGTCTCTTGCCCCCACCCCCAGGTCACCAGAATTAGTGACCCCATTAGAAGATTTCCCCTCCCTTACCTTTCTGGGGACAACTCAAAATTTGGGGAGAACAGGATACTTTTTCTTACAAGTACATGGTACAGCAGGCACATATCAGGAATATGAAATGTTGGCTTTACATACTCTTTAACCCTAGGTTCACATCTAAGCGTTTTCTGCGGAGTTTTGCAGAAACGCAGTCCGGTCCATTTAACATTATTTCCTATGGGACAAGTGCACATCTCCTCGTTTTTCACCCGGTTCGTTTTTTGGAAAGTATCCGGGACTTGTTTGAACACAAAAGTTGCGGTTTTGGTTCTATAGACTTCAATGGAAACGCTACAGAAAGGCATGTATTGTGTTTTTGCGGCATTTTGCATTTTACATCTGCCTAGAAACAAGAAAAAAAAATGAAAAACGAAAGTGCAAAACACAAGGCAAAAACCGCTCAAACACAACCTACATAGGTGTGAACCTAGACTTAAGGATAAGTAGTGGATACCCCCCTCCCCCTCCCAATTACTTACCAAAGTGAATGCAGCATCAGTCCCACTCCAGCTCTAAGTGTGAGAACTCAGTGATCACATGACCACTGAGTTCTCATACCCGCTCTGAGCAGGGAGCAGCGACTTCTCCATCTTGCTAAGAAAAAATGGACAGCACAGTGGCTAAATGGTTAGCACTTCCGCCTGGCAGTACTAGGGTCATTGGTTTGAATCCCAACCACGGCACCACCTGCCTGGGGTTTGCATGTTCTCCCTGTGCCTGCGTGGGTTTCCTCCAGGTACTCTGGTTTCCTCCAACACTCCAAAGATATGCTGGTAGGTTTATTGGATCCTGTCTATATTGGCCCGTGTGTGTGTGTGCGTGTGTGTGTGTGTGTCGCTGCGTAAATTGACAGCGCTATAGAAGTACCTGAAATATATAAATAAAAAAATACTTTGATTGCTATCTTGGTCTCCATTAGAAACATTTGTTATGTTGTAGCCTGACACTACAGTTGTTCATTTTTCTGCTCATTAATCTGTGCTCAGTATCACATAATGACAAAGTGAAAACAGAATTTTAAAATTGTTTGCAAATGTATGAAAAAGGAAAAACTGAAATCTGACATTGGCATGAGTATTCAGACCCTTTGTAACAACACTTGATATTTAGCCCGGGTACCTCCTTCTTTATCATCACTGGGATGTTTCTACACCTTGATTGACGTCCACCAGTGGTAAATGAAATGGATTGGACATGACTTGGAAAGGGCTTTTTTCTTTTTTATGTGTTTTCTGATAATCATATCAACTACTTTATTCATTTTGTACAGGTGGTGACCTTGTGGTATCGTGCCCCGGAAGTATTACTTCAGTCTACATATGCCACACCGGTGGACATTTGGAGTGTAGGATGTATATTTGCAGAGATGTTCAGGAGGAAGTGAGTATATGTGCCTGTTACTTTATCAGCTGTGTTTATTTGTGTGTTTTCCAGTAAACTCTGTCATAAAAAAGCACTCTTCATCTGTAAACCTCTGACACATCAGCATCTGATCCTTCACAGTAACAGGTTCTGGAATGTTCGCTTTGCATATAATATTTTCAGTTCGGTGGGTCTGAGATCACAGGAACATCAGGTAGAATTGTCACACACTTCTGTTTTACTTCTCGTGTATACCTCACAGCCTTTCAGAATTAAAGATCAGGACTTGGCAGACCCTTATGTCCAGCCTGTGCACACTCTGCCCCTGATTTGTGTGTTTTTTTTTTTTTTTGGGTTTTTTTTTTTTTTAATAGCTGGTCACACACATTGATGGATATTTATGTAGGTCTTTGCCCATTGGGTAGATTACCTTTTCTAACTATAGATTCGTTGGGACAGAAGACCTCTCAATCTCCTTTTTTTTTTTTTTTTTCTTAATATTTTACATCGTAGGGGCCGGTTAGAACCTGTTAAATTTTCACTTTGTATCTTTCAAATTTTCCTGTCCCTTGGAGAACACAGCAAATTGAGGAACACCCATTCTTACATTTTTATTTTTTTTTTGTTTAGTGTATTTATTTTGGCTTGAATTTAGCCTCTTGTGATTTCCTGCACAGTAGAACTGGCAGAGGAAAGGGCATGTCTAGGAATCAGTTTGAGAAACCACATACAAATATGCTGAAGAGGAGCATGATCTTGAGGATAGAGCAGAGTGGGTGAAAGTTGAGCTCATCATGCTGCTGCTCCTTCACTGTTATATCACTGTTTAGAGGCAGGGAGGTGCTTAACTGCAAAAATAAAAACTTACTGTCACTGCTCTATGGCAGGGCAGTGTAAAACTCAAGACTGGATTGACAAACAAGTGCAAAGTTTGCATTTGGTTTTAAAAAAAAAAAAAAGTGTGTTCAGCAGTAAGTGAACTTCTGTTTTAGCTGTGGTCTAAACTACATCAGGGTGTTTGGGTTTGAAATATCCATTAAAGGGGGAAGGAGAGGGGGTTGGGATTGTCCATTCCCTCCACTCAGATCTCAGATTACACTGTGCCATACTGTGCAATGTGCTGTCCTATCCCCAGCACCTGCCTTCTGAAGCTCAGAAATGTGTAAACCGTGTGCTTTAGGATTCTGTAGAAAAGACAGGTTGCAGATACATAGTTACAACTTGTACAATGTTTTGCTTCATCTCTGTGTATCACCTGAGGCTAGTCAATGTAGTGGAAAGGTTTACACCACTTTAAAGAATGCCTGTAGTGAAGAAATATGGAGGCTGTCAATGCTAACTATTCTTACAGGTGGTTACAGTACCTTCTAAGTCATTGACTTGGAGCAAGAATGCAGATGAGGAGTTCTGGCTTTGTTGATCTGATGCAATTATTTGGAGTCAGTGTCTCAAACTATTGAAGCCAGAGACTGCCAGGCACCTAGCATATTCTAAATGCAGTCAGCAATGTACAATCACTCAGTACATTTTTTTTTACTCCCACACTTTGCAGAAAGCCCAGACATGGAGAAACTAGGAAGTGCTCTGGTGAGATTTTCCCTGCACACCTTGGCTGCTGCCTGTAGCCAGAACATCCTGGGATGATCCCCACCCAATTGAGAGGAGATTACAGCAGTTCCCCATAGCAGTTGTATCTGGGTGTTTTTGCCCGTTATTCCATATGTCTATCTTAAAATGAATACATTGGGTCTGCGACTGCTAATATTTCAGTTGTAGATGATTTATGACTAGGTCACCCCTTTGCCTTTGCTGAGAATGGATCATCTTCAAGATTCCTACTCTTTGTGGCGTTATCCATATTATGAAATAAACATGGAAAGATTGTGGCTCTGTGCTTGTCATGGCACCACAGGAGATGTCCAGATTTAGGAGCCAATTGCACAGGTGCCCTCCACTGAAGTCTCTGAGAAATAAAATGAAACCTTTAGCTTCTTCCACAAAGTGAAACATCAATTTTGGGTGCATTTGCCCTTCCTTTTAAAGTTTCTTTTGTTTTCATGCTGAATAAGCAAGTTGTTGTTTTTTTTTTTTTTCCTGTTATTTTTTAGACCTCTGTTCTGTGGAAGCTCGGAGGCTGACCAGCTTTGCAAGATTTTTGAGTAAGTTGTGTTTTGTAACATCTGGAAAGCAGCAGAAATTTGGTTTGTGCTAGATCATCACAAATTAACAGGGCTTGTGAAAAGTTCAGCCAGTGATTTATTTCAGTACTTGAATACCTTTTTATAAAATGAACCTCTAAAGACTTTATGTATCAATGTGTACTGTAAGAACTGGCATGTTTTCCCAAGTCTCCAGACTTTAATGGCAGGTCTGATGTTGACCAGTGGCTGAGGAGAAACAACAGCAAATCTTAGTAAGAATCTGTTGATACATAAGGACTTTAAGCTGACCATAATTCCTCCATCCATGCTGTACAGCTCAGATGGACGTATCTCTCACATGCCTATTTGTCAGTTGAGGGATGCCAAGTAGGAGGCAGCTGACAGGGCCACCCACTGAGTGAATTTATAAGGGATTAACCATTTACTGTCAGATCAGGGGATGTTAAAGCCCAATTAAGCCTTCTATTTAGGTGCTTGTCGCCCATCCACATTACATGTACTGCGGGCAGCACAGCTTGGCTAGGCAACTTAACCATATGTCGTAACCCGGCTTCCGAGCTTCAGGCTCGCATGTGCGCAGCCCCTGCTGACCCATACTTGTAAGCAGGTTTCAGCCAATAATTTTGTTCATTCAAAGCACAGAGTTCTGTGTTTACGAACACACAGAACTCCTATGTACTCAGAACAGTGATCTGGCTGTTTTCTGTGAAAAGCAGGGAGAAAAACCAACCAGATCTGTGAGTAAAAGTGGCACACATTACACACAGTTAACCCCTTGATTGCCCCTTGATATGAACCCCTCCTCAGCCAGTGTCATTAGTACTGTATTATATCTGATCACTGAATTAATGTCACTAGTGACGTCTGTGTCAGTTAATGTCCCTCCCAGCCAGTGTTTGTTAGCACCAACTTTCCTGCCACACTATCACAGTCCCACTAGAAGTCACTGATCACCGCCGTTACAAGTATAGCTTCTATAGCTGTGTAAATTCCAATGTATGTGTGTAATATAAATGTGTGTGTGTGTGTGTGTGTGTGTGTGTGTGTGTGTGTGTATACCCCCCCATTTCTTTCTAATAAAATAAAAAATATGTGCATCCAAATCTGCTACTAAATAAAGAAACCATATGTTGGAGTACACTACAAAAGCTGAAACGTACGAGGTGCAGGAATCGGGCATCAGTAAAGTAGTCATTTAAAGACCTTCTCTGAGTAAAAGAAAAACGCTGTCCTGCAGTGCGACTGTCCCTACACTGCAAGTATTAAATGCTCATTTATGTCTGGGGGACGGCAAAAGGTTTTAGTTACCTGATCAACAACTGGCAGCTGATGCTCTTCTCTACTCCTCTATGCTCCAGCAGTGGCCTGTCCCTCAGTGTCTGTGTATTGCAGCGCTATAGGCCCATCACTGGATTTGATGATGCCATAAGACATCCGTCCACCAGAGCATAAGGGGGGCTGCATTTATTGGTTTGACAGTCAGCCGAAGGCCTGCGGTAGCTGATGATTGGCCAAGTAAAATGGCTTTTTAAAGCCCCCTAGACCTAAATGGGAGCAATTTGGCTATGCCCAGAGTTCAGCTTTGAAGACACTATACTTTGGCCTTTTACACATATTTTGTTAAGAAATGTGGTCACTCCATATAAGAGCCGTAGGGACAGGGCTATCTTAGGGCTATCTTTCTAACTGTTACTCTCTATCCAAATCCATTCTCTTATTGAAAAAAAGAGCTGGAAAATATTTTTGGCACTTTGGATTTCCTCATCTTACTCAAACCCACACCTGCAGCTATGAGAGCTGTATGCACTGATCCTGCCTTCAGTTAGCAGCTGCCATTGCGCTGTGGGTTCACCATTAATACATTGTGCTAGGAGCAGGCAGTGAGGCTTTGTCACTTAGCCTGGTATACTTATATTTCTGAAGCAATTTCACACAAAAAAAATTCTTTCTAAGAATATTTCTGCAAATAAAGTATACATCGATGGTAAACTTGTTAAGTCAGGTAACAGTGCAGTCATCTGTAGCAAGGATGGGATCCCACTTGGTTGCTCTGGGTTTGTACACTTTACCTTTCTTGCTAATGAATAGGCCTACGTGTGTCACCTACCATATGTCTTCTCTCTACAGTATGATTGGTCTACCTTCAGAGGAGGAGTGGCCAGAGGATGTCACATTACCACGGTCTGCTTTTTCACCCCGGAGTCAGCAGCCAGTAGAGAAGTTTGTCTCTGAAATTGATGCAGCTGGTGCTCAGCTTCTGCTGGTATGTATCATAAAACTTCATAGTGGGGTTCTCTCAAGCCATTTTAAAAAATGGAACCAGTGCAAAGTAATGGCTCTGTAGTGGCTTATTCCATGCAAAATTGATATTTCATTTATATGTGGTGCTGATGTGCTAACACCTGCTGGCTTTTTATTTCTTGGAAACTTTATTATTGATTTCTAGCACAGGTCCCATCATAGTTCCAACCATCTCTTAAGTCTTCCCCTCTTCTACATTAGTGTAGTTCCCAGTTTTCTAGTTTGTCTCCATTATGAAAAATAACTCTCCAGCAGGATTTCCCCTTGGGATTGCTGCAGCAAAACCTAAAGTGGAACTACACTGCATCTGAGCACAACAATCCAAAAATGCTATTTAATTAATTTTTAATATTCAAAGCAAACTCACAAATTCACGTCTTCATGCTTCATTTTGCTGAGAAATCACTTTGAAAAACACATCCCAGCATTTCTGCCTGTGGCCATCTTGAGTAAGGGCAGATGTTTTATGTAGCATTTACTTCCTGGAATCCGCTGTGTGCAAACCAACACACACAGCATGCATTACTACAATGTGTGTAATGCTGAAGAAGCCTCATGGCTTCTGGTTTCTGACATCGCAGAGTAGGGAAAAGAACGGAAGTTCCTCCAGCCATCACAGTGCAGATTTCAACAGTACTAGAGAGCCTGGGAAGGGAGGCAATAAAAGGGGGAGACCCCTTTCTGCCACCTGTGAAAGTGGTCTGGTGGCTGTAGAACCGCTTGATTGCTTTTACCAGAAAGGCCATTATCCAAGGGTGTATATATATATGTACGGGGGATGTGAAGTAGTTACGTCAGCTGCTGAAAGTGCTTGAAAAACCCTAGGTTTTAATATCAGTATAGGTTAGAAAAAGCGGCTACCTTGTTTATCTATACAGGATAAGCTTCATGTAAAAACCATTTTTTTTTCCTGGGTACCAGGTGGAAAATCACATCTTTACAATGTCTTTCTTTCTAGGAAATGCTGACATTTAACCCTCAGAGGCGCATCTCTGCATCACAAGCTCTGCTTCACCCCTTCTTCTCTGAAGACAATGAAGCCTGCCCCAAACCAGATGCCTTCTCACGTGTACATTCCACCGATAAATGAAACCAACACTTATGTCATGAATATTAGATTACATCTATTTTTTCTTACCTGGAACTTGCATTTTACATACGAAACATCTGTAAGAGAATTTGTGGATACCACCTTCATTTTTCTTTTTCACTGAAACTCAACGATATCCTTGGGTTTTGAAAAATCGTCTCTTCTGACTTTCACAGATGAAAACACCCTGCCGTTTACTTCTACCACTGCCAAAACTGACGAGAAACATTTCTGCCTTTGTCACAAATATACCTGGCCTGACACTACACAACCTAATGCTCAGTACATGGTCTTTGGGCATAAGCTAAAGTCTTTTTATTTTTAAACAAAAAAAAAAAAAACTTTTTTTTTTTTTTAAGGGTTCTAGTTTCAAAATACAACTGCCTATGAAATAATTTTGCACAGATTGAAATTTCATTTTGGTCCTGACAATTGTATTTGTAATCGCTTTTTTTTTTTTTTGTTTGTTTTTTTTGACAACAGCACATTTTGTTGGATCTCAAGTTTTATGGAGCTTTGAAGCCTCAAAATCTGTTAGGTTTCTGGATGCTGGATTGGAAGAGGAGGAATTACTTAGTTTTGATCTGAACTGTTCTGCCATATGCCTTATACATGACACGGAGTCCTATAGCAATCCTGTCATCTTGTTCCAGGTCTTAATCCTGGCTGGAAGCAAAACATGTCAGCATAGACTCTGCTATGCTGTAGGCTTAAACTCTCCTTGGGAGATTACAAGTTGTTTTCTAGGAAGATAGGCTTTCAACAAGATCTGAATTTTCCACAAGGCCTCTTCCTAGTAATATGGGCCTAGAGAGCCTCCAGTGGGGAACCCATTTAGGATTCCAAACTACCAGAAATGTTTTTTTGTTTTTATTTTTGCTTATGTTTGTCTTCTACTAATCATAGATTGTGACTATTTTTCATTTTATCTATATTTAATGTACTGTTTTATATACTATGTGTTGAATCGGTCATTGAATTTGCCCTATCACCATAATGAATTTGTTATATGCACGTCATATGGAGTATGTTCTTTTTAAGAGTTACTATTTACAAACGAATGTTACTATACCTTCACCTTCCTTTAGAAATATGTATTAGTATTTATTCCAAGATCCTGTTTAGCTTTATGAAAATGAACTTTTAAGGTTTTATACAAGTGTCCTCTAAGAATGTGCCAATACATGCCTTTTATGAATTTTGACTGTTTTGTTTAATTGTGCTTTATTTGTAATCACAGTATGGACATCAGAAAACTATGGCGTTATTGTGAGAATAGTTTATAGAGTGTATTCAGATTGAAGGAGTTCATGGAAAATTGATGCCGTTCTGTTTTAAATGGGACAGATTCATCCAAATGCATTCAGATATATTTGATGTGGAACAAATACAGTGAATATAAAAAGTCTACACACCCCTGTTAAAATGTCAGGTTTCTGTGATGTAAAAAAATGAGACCAAGATAATTATTTTCATACTTTTTTCCACCTTCATTGTAACCTATAAACTGTACAACTCAGTTGAACAACAAACAAATATTTTAGGTGCAGGGAAGTAAAAATGAAAAACTTATTATGGTTGCATAAGTGTACATACCCTTAACCACTAGCCTACAGGGCACTTATACCCCCTTCCTGCCCAGGCCAATTTCCAGCTTTCAGCGCTGTCCCACTTTGAATGACAATTGTGCGGTCATGCAACACTGTACACATGAAATGTTTATCATTTTTTTGTGACAGAGCTTTATTTTGGTGGTATTTAATCACCTCTGGATTTTTTTTTTTTCTTAAACAAACCAAAAACCACTGAAAATTGTGGAGAAAAAAAAACTTTTTTTTTTTCTTAGTTTTTGTTATACAATTTTGTAAATAAGTGATTTTTCTCCTTCACTGATGTGCGCTAATGAGGCTGCACTGATAGGTGGCACTGATGGGCATTGACAGGCATTACTGATGGGCACTGATATGTGGCACTGATATGTGGCACTGTTAGGTGGCACTGATGGGCATTGACAGGCATCACTGATATATGGCACTGACTGGCAGCACTGATAGGTGGCACTGATGGGTGACACTGAAAGGCAGCTCAGATGGGCCCTGATATGTGGCATTGATGTGCACTGGTATGCACTGATATGTGGCATTGATGTGGCACTGGCACATGGCAATTATGAACACTGACGTGGCACTGCTGGGGCTACACTGATCATCAGGGCACACTGATCATCAGTGCCCTGATGATCAGTGTACATGCCCCCTCCGCGGAAAGCCAATAACCAGCATTTCCCTGTTTACATGTGATCAGCTGTGATTGGACACAGCTGATCACATGACCGAGCCCTTTCCGTGAATCGGTTATCCGCTGTGTCCGAGGGGCACAGCGCACCACCGATCGCCGCGCTACGTGCTCCCTGAGCCTCACATGCGCGGTGAGAATGGGAGGACGTCGTATGACATCCTCCCAGAACGAGAGAACCGCCTTGCGCCCATCATATTACTATATGGCGGGCTGAACGTGATTAAACTAATTTGTTGAAGCACCTTTTGATTTTATTCCAGCACTCAGTCTTTTTGGGTATGAGTCTATCAGCATGGCACATCTTGACTTGACAATATCTGCCCACTCTCCCTTGCAAAAACATTCCAAATCTGTCAGATTGCAAGGGCATCTCCTGTGCACAACCCTCTTCAGATCACTCCACAGATTTTTGATCGGATTCAGGTCTGGGCCATTCCAAAACTTTAATCTTCTTCTAGTGAAGCCATTCCTTTGTTAATTTGGATGTATGCTTTGGGTTGTTGGCATGCTGAAAGATGAAGTTCCTCTTCATGTTCCGCTTTCTAGCAGAAGCCTGAAGGTTTTGTGCCAATATTGACTGGTATTTGGAACTGTTCATAATTCCCTCTACCTTCTGCCACCACCATCATGCTTCAATGTGGGTATGGTGTTCTTTTGGTGATGTGCAATGTTGTTTTTGCGCCAAACAGTTCAACCTTGGTTTTATTAGACCAGAACACATTTTCCCACATGCTTTTGGGAGACTTCAGATGTGTTTTTGCAAAATTGGCAGCCTCCCAAACCAGTTTTCTTCTCTTCTTTTCATACATTTTGGAGGAACGCCCAGTTCTTGGTAATGTCACTGTTCCGCCATATTTTCTGCACTTGATGACTGTGTTCCATGGTATATCTAATGCCTTGGAAATTCTTTTGTACCCTTCTCCTGACTGATACCTTTTAACAATGAGATCCCTCTGATGCTTTGGAAGCTCTCTGCAGACTATGGCTTTTGCTGTAGGATGCGACTAAGAAAATGTCAGGAAAGACCTACTAGAACAGCTGAACTTTATTTGGGTTAATCAGAGGCACTTTAAATGATGGCAGGTATGTACTGACTCCTATTTAACATGATTTTGAATGTGATTGCTTAATTCTGAACACAGCTACATCCCCAGTTATAAGAGGGTGTGCACACTTATGCAACCACAGGTTTTTTTTTTTTCAATGTTTACTCTCCCCCCCCCAAAACATTTCAGTTTGTTTTTCAATTGAGTTGTACAGTTTTTAGGTCACATTAACAGGTGGAAAAAGTTTTGAAATTATTTATATATTTTTTTTTTTTTTTACATCACAGAAACCTGACATTTCAACAGGGGTGTGTAGACTTTTTATATCCACTGTATATTTAAAGCCCATGTCCTGCCAAAACATATGCAAATATACTGTACTTATGTGTAACAGTGATGCATACCTTTCCAAAACCATAACTGGATTTACTGGTAATTTTCCATTTCTACGTGGAGGTCTGCTTTAGGGCTCATGCACACAGCCATATCTGGCCATATAGCATACATTCTTGCTTATTTACCTGGCAGGGAGCCCACAGATGCTGCCTATAGACCACCTAGACAGTGGCTGTACGCATACATTGTTTATGCACTTGAAGACACAATTTTCTGCATCATTCAAACCAAAAAATTAATTAAATGGCACTGGGTGGTACATTTTGCAAAGGGGAGCACCTGAGATAGGGTGAGTTTTGCAATGACATCCCAATTTATTTTACTGGCTTGGCTCATTAATTTTTAATCTGGATTTTGAATTTAAAACTGAACTTCAGGCAAACAATTGAATACACAATTGTAATACCTTCATGTGGCCTTGCCAAAGGATGATTCTGTCTAGACACTTTTGTGAGACACTTTTATGGTAGAGTTCATAGAGACCCCAACTAGGAATGATGCTCTGCTGGACCTGGTAATCTCAAACCATGCAGAGCTTATTACGAGTGTCCATATAAAAGAACATCTGGATAGCAGTGACCATAACTTGATTTCATTTGTTAGCTGTAAACAACAAGCACATATGGGAACAATAAAAAAAACAATTTTAAGAGAGCTAATTTTCCAAGGCTGAGAGCTGCTCTCCAAGACTTGGACTGGGAGGAAATATTGGCATCGATGAACACAACACAGAAATGGGAGTTATTCAAAAAGACTGTATGTGAACACACTGCAAAATATATGTCCATGGGCAACAAGTTTAAAAGGCTAAAAATCAAACCTATGTGGCTTACAGCCAAAGTTAAAAAAGCTATAAATAATAAGAAAATAACTTTTATTAAATATAACAAAGAAGAAATGCTATTGTCATCTAAGCATTACAAAGAATATAGCAGAATATGCAAAAAGGGAATAGAGGCCGCAAAAACTGAAAATGAATGACAGATTGCAAAAGGATAGCAGGACCAGCCCCCAAAAATTCGTCAAATATATTAATAGTAAAAAGATCCAGTCCGAGCATGTAGGCCCTTTACAAAATAATCTAGAGTGGGTGACTGGGGACAAAGAGAAGGCAAATTTATTAAATACCTTCTTTAGCTCTGTGTATACAAAGGAGCCTGGGGGAGCTCTTGTCCATAATGGGCATGGTATTGACACAGCTCCACATGATCCACATTGGCTCACAACTGATATGATCCAGAAATATTTAGACAGTATAAAAGGTGAATAAAGCACCTGGACCGGATGGCATACACCCACGGGTCCTTAAAGAATTGAGCTCTGTCATTTCAAAGCCATTTTTAGGGACTCTTTAATGACTGGCATAGTACCACTGGATTGGCGTAAGGCTAATGTGGTGCCAATATTTAAAAAGGGGTCAAAATCTTTACCAAGTAATTATAGACCTGTTAGTTTAACTTCTATAGTTGGGAAGATACTGGAGAGTTTAAAAAAAAGACCACATCGATGAGTTCTTGCTGGAAAAAGATTTTAAGCGATTCATTAAAGACAGAAGTTTCCAAACAAATCTGATTTCTTTTTATAAGGGGGTGAGCAAAACCTTGGACAGAGTGGTGGCAGTGGAGGTGGTATACTTGGATTTTGCAAAAGCGTTTGACACAGTTCCCCACACACGGCTAATGTCTAAGGTAAAGTCTACGGGCTTGGAAAAATCTGTATGTAAATGGATAGAAAACTGGCTAAAAGATCATATTTAAAGAGTAGTGGTTAATGATTCATACTCTGCATGGTCTAGGGGTGTCAGTGGTGTACCCCAGGCTTCAGTATTGGGACCCTTACTTTTTAATATATTTATAAACAATATAGGGTCTGGGATTAAAAATCCCATTTCAGTCTTTGCAGATGACACTAAGCTGTGCATTGGAATAACGTCCTTACAGGATGTCTTCAACTTACAAGCCAACCTCAATGCACTGTTTAATTGGGCAACTGTGACAACAGCGGTTTAATGTTGATAAATGTAAGGTTATGCACTTGGGGGCTAAGAATATGCATGCATCATACATACTAGGGGGAGTACAACTGGGGGAATCAATGGTGGAAAAGGATCTGGGAGTTCTGGTAGATCACACGCTTAATAATGGCATACAATGCCAAGCTGCAATTTCTAAAGCGAGCAAACTCCTCGCGTAATAAGAGGAATAGACTCCAGTGAGAGAGATATATCATATTACCCCTGTAAATATTATTAAGACCTCATCCTGAATATGCTGTCCAATTTTGGGCACCAATTCACAAAAAGAACATTGGGGAACTGGAGAAAGTACAGAATAGGGCAACCAAACTGATAAGAGGCATGGAGGAGCTTTGCTATGAGGAAAGATTAGAGGAACTGAATTTATTCTCTCTTGAGAAGAGGAGATTAAGGGAGGGATATGATCAACATGTATAAATACATCAGTGGTTCATATAGTGAACTCGGTGTAGAGTTATTCACCTCTCAGTCATCACAGAGGTTGTGTCCGACCCAGGTACCTCAATCTGTGAAATTAGTCCAGTGATGTTTTGTGGGATGCTGTCTGAAAAAGACAGGGAGGACTGGGCCTTCAACAGGAGATCATTCATGTATCCCACAACATGAATCCCCTAGGAACCATGCAGGGCCAAAACCAGGCCAAGGATTGTTGGCCATGGACAGGCAACAATTGATAATGTGGATTGCCCACCACAAAATGCAGATGGTGTTGATGAGGTGGAAAATTTTAGATAGGCATCCCAAAAGTCTATTGAAGCCAGAAAGGCAATGACTAGCCTAGCATTTTCCATCCAAAACTTTGAACCCGTGGGAACAAGTTGAGTCTGCAGAGCTAGAATGAGCTGAGCTCCTCTATTTGGTCTGGGAATCGCAGAGTTTTGAGTAGAAACTGAAAACATTCTCCTGTTGGGACAGGGAAGACGATCCCGTGCTCAAAAAACTATTTGACAGCAGCAAGCAAATCTGCCTGCTGTGACCAGGAAGGATAGTGTGAAACTCCAGTTTCGAAGGAACAAAAGTAAAAACAAAGTGCCTCTAAGTGTAGACTGTATAACAGTTTACTATTAAAAAAAGGAAAGTTTAACAACTCCCATCTTGTAAGAGTAATACAGGCTCATAGGGGTAAATGTGCAATACATCTATCGTCAGATGTAGAGAGCCGCCTGGGAAGGGATTCTAGCCGATCAGCAGGTGGCACTGTAAAGAGGGGATGCGTGGATGGTGGAGCCTGGCTGCAGCCCTGGTATGTCCGGAGCTTGTGGTGTTGGCATCTGACGTCATTGGGACTGATGTGTTTCTGAGCATGTGCAGAAGCCGATGTGAACCAGCGCGCTCTTTCATCAGGCATAGAGGGAGCAGAAGGAGGCGGGGGAAGGAAGGGAGCCTTATATGGGACGAGGAGGAGTGACGGACAGGACCGGGCGTGGGGAAAGGACAAGAGGGAAACGCAGAGAGACAGTGAAACGATGTCTGCGTGTTATAGATGATAACATGGTAAGAAAAATGGTCCTGTTGTATGAAAATACAAAGATCGTACAAAATTCATAAAGAACATGGGAA